TCCAAAGAAGACATACACATGGCCAACAGACAAATGAAAAGATGCTCAGCATCACTAATCATCAGAGAGATGCAAATTATACTACAAGATATCACCTCACACCAGTCAAAATGGGTATAAATCAACAAATGACATCAGTAAATCAACAAGCAAGTGCTGGTGAAGATATGGAGAGAAGAGAACCTCTTTGTACCTATTGGTGGGATTATTAATTGGTGCAGTCCCTATGGAAAACAATATGCAGGTTCCTCAAAAAATTAAAAGTAGAAGTACCATATGAGCCCACAATTCTACTTCTGGTTATTTATCCAAAGAAAATTAAAACACTAGTTTGAAAAGCTATATGCACCCCTGTGTTCACTGAAGCACTATTTACAACAGCCAAGATATGGAAGCAACGTAAATACTTTCTGATACACAAATGGACATAGATGTGGTATTGGATTGGCCAAGAAGTTTGTTTACTTTTTCCTGTAAAATAAAAGACATTTTTTCATTTTCACCAATAATTTTATGATTTGGATATTTTGAGTATGTAGGCTATCTTCCACTATCGTCTTCTAGTGGGGAGAGGCCAGGGGTGCTGCTAAACACATTCCAATCCATAAGACAGCCCCACAGCAAAGAATTATCTGGCCAAAATGTCAACAGTACCAAGAAACACCACAAACCACCATTGACACGTTTGATCAGTCACAGCATCTTCTCCATACACTGCACACATTTTTTGTGTGTGTTTTCAGTTGAGTTTTTACCTTTCTTGAAATAATAAAGCATAATACGCTGAAAATGTATATATTCTTCCATTTTCAGTATCAACATAGCTGCACAAAAATTCATCACTTTTGTTAAGTTTTTTAAAATGCACGCTGATGACAACTGTCACAATACAGTCTAACAAAATTGTTTTGAATAAAGTTAAAGACAACTAAGCACTACTTGAACCATCTCACAGAAAAAGCTAAATGAACTTTTTGGCCAACCCAACACATATATAAAATGTAATATTTCCCAGAGATAAAAATAAAGCCAACCTTGCCATTTTCAACAAGAGGATATTGTGGACCTAGAGAGTACTAAGTGAGATAAGTATAACAGACAAGGGCACTTTTTACTTACATATGGGATCTAAAAAACAAACAAAACAGAAACAAACAAGAAATTGATGGCTGCCAGATGGGAAGGGGGTTGAGAGGATGGGTAAAAAGAAGAAGGGATTAAGTTGCACAAATTGCTAATCATAAACACAGTCCCAGGGATGTAAATTACAGCATAGGGAATACACTCAAGAATATTATAATAACCATGTATGGTGCCACATGGGTACTAGATTTATCTGGGTGATCACTTCAAAAGTTATATAAATGTCCAATCACTATCTTATACACCTGACACATAATATGTGTCAACTGGAATTAAATATTTTTATTTTAAAATTAAGATTCAAATGAGGTGAGTGTACTCTCACACCACTGAGAAAAAGGTATCCTGCTCCATCTAAGCCTCTCCGTACACACTGTCAAACTGTTTCAGCACTGGACTACCTCCTCTACTCAACACTGTCCAACACAGCAGCCATCGGACCCATAGGGCTATTTACCTTTAAACCAACTAAGTAAACTAAAACATTCAGTTCCTGCTTCACACGCGTGGCTAGTGGCTACCACACTGGACAGTGCAGATATGGAAGGTTTTCAGCATCTTCTGTTGGGCAGCCTGCTGCAGCCCTGTCACGGATAAGGATCCGTACGGTAAGGGAGTTCCAAGATAAGAAAGCTTTGGGTCCTGCCCATAAATGACATACAGTCAAATTGTAAGATTGAAAGTAACTCCAGGCTGACCTACGCTACTCTGTGCTTCTAGTGTGTTTATCCCTCTGGGAAAACACACAGTGAAATTAGCTCCTTACTGGTCTGTCTCATCAGCTAGCACAGCGGTTCCCAAGCTGGGCTGTGCAGGAGAATCACCTGTGGAGCTTCTAAAATGCCCGCCCCTCTGGCTGCATCCCAGTGCAATTAAATCAGAATCCTCGGGGGTGCGACCCAGGCACTGGGATTCTGGAAGCTCCCCAGGTGACTCCAACATGCAGTGAAGGCAGCAAACCACTGGCCCGAGATGTGAACTGTTAGAGCAAAGGTGACATCTTACTCAAATCTGAATTCCCCTTCCCGATGACGTCCCCACCTTGCCCCTACACATCTCCAAGCCCCACACCTACCCAGCGGCTGGCGCATGGAAGACGGTCAGTAAATGCCAGGGAGGCAGGATGGACAGGGCATGGCGACGCAGGCTGGGACGGCACCGCCCAAGTGAAAAGCCTGACTGACTACTGCTTTCAAGGGTGCTGGAAGATGACACCAGCATTGAGGGTACAGACTGTGGAGAAAACCGGATTCAGAGCCCAACAGGAGACTGAAGCAGAAAAAGGATGTGAGCTGGAAAGAGTGGTGGCAGGGAGGACAGGAAGAGCACACATGACCCATTCTGAAGACGAATTCTGCAGGCCTCAGTGACTGAGCTCAGGGAAAGGGAAAGGGAAAGGAAAAGCACGATGACAAACATGAGTCCAGGATTTCTAGGTCCACCACCAGCAATAACAGGATATCATTAACTTAGGGGAAAAAAGAGCCCTGCCCGGTGCAGCTCAGCTGCTTGGAGCCATCATCTAATAAACCAAAAGGTCACAGGTTCGATTCCCAGTCAGGGCACATGCCTAGATTGTAGGTTTGGTCTCTAGTCAGGGTGTGTCCGAGAAGCAACAGATTGATGTTTCTCTCTCGTATAGATGTTTCTATCTGCCCCCCCACCTCTAAACCAGAGGTCAGACGGTGAAATAGCCACCAGAGGCCAGCAGTGCACTGTGGGAACGAGACTGGAGATCTGGAAACACAGCACTGAAGGGGCGTCATCCCAGGGAGGTGACTCAAAGCCTTTCAAACAGGTGATTTTTGACTGCGATGCCCACAAACTCATGCTGCTGGCAACCACGCCACATCCTCACCGATCAACAGGGGATGGAGAGCTCTCTACCAGGCAAGGGTGAGCAAAGCAGAAATGATGGGAGACCGGGGTGAGGCCCATTAGTGGAGTCAGCTGCAAATTCAAGTCCTCCTGGCAAACCCCCAGGGTCAATGACTTAAGGCTGGAACTTCCTGCGAAACTGATTTCATGCTTCCTCCAAACAAAGCTGCATCTATCCCTGGTGGGGACCTTGTTAAAAACCAATTCTAATTGAGTAAGTCTGAGGTGGGCCCAAGAGTCTGCATTTCCCCAAGTTCCCCGTGCTGGCAGAGATGTTGGCCCACAGACCAAGCTCTGGGAAGTGAAGAGGACGAGTAACCCAACCACCCATGCTGGTTCAGCTCGATGGTGGCACCTGTGAATCCAATACTTGCTAGTAATGGTCTCTCTCCCCCAGTTCCTACTTTTTATCATTTTTCATATGGGTCAAGCTTTAACACTGATAACAAAATTATAATAAGTCATACCTCGGTATTTGTAGGCTTCAGGACTGATCAGACCCTGTACTCATTGCATTTTGACAAGAAAAAAATATTTCAGCACTCAGCACTTGCTAGAGACTTGTCTCACTTGCTAGAACTTTTTTCAGACCCCACAGCACCAACAAGAGAAAATGCATCATCACTCGTTGCTTGTTGGGTACTGATCCATTTGGATACTCATTACAAGTTCCAGAACGAATGAACCAGAAGTACCAAGGTACCACTGTATATATAATCCTAAAAGCTAGTCTTCAGTTACGCCAAACACTGCTACATGCATTCATTCCTTTAACCTCCCAAAACCTCTTGGAAGTACTACTGCTGTTATCTCCATTTTACACATGAGGAAAACAAGGTGCCCAAGGTCACTCAGCTAGCTAGTGTCAGTGAGGCAGGACAGTGAGAAGCTAGGGTAATTCCTTGACACGTGGATTAAGGGAAACTGAAACAAGATAATCATACAAGACCAAACAATTTCGGCAATTTACAGTCAGCTAATGATTCCCAAGGTTTTATCTTCCTTAACCAAGGGCGCTTAGGAGCAAATAAGTGGTTTGCACATCCCAGGCTGTTCTGGGAACAGAACCGCCTAAGTCCGGGTCCGGCTTCAATGACTTTCTTTAAAAATTAACCGAATCAGAAAATAACCTGACCTCACTATACACATATTTTAATGAATCACCACAGTGAAGGACACGCCTGGAAAGCTAATGAACATTCTGTTAAGACTTTCCCTAGGATTCCGCTGGGCAAAGGAAGATAAAAAGCCTCGGGCAAAGGAGCCTGCAAGCGCGCTCTCTCCAGAGCTCGCCCAGCCTCCTCTCCTCTCTCTGCCGCCTTCCTCCTAAACTCTAAGGCACCGCACGAGGCTGCAAGGCAGGGAGCAGTGGGCAGACGCAGTTTCCTGGGACCGTGGCCCTCGCGCCGGAGCGCGAGCCTAGCCAGCTCCCAGGTGAAGATGATAACCGTGAAGCCGCCCCGGGGCCCCACATTCCTCAGCGCTGTCGGAAACACCTGACTGCTTGTTCACCACTCAGGAAACATGTATCTCGAACTTTCACATTTATCTGGAGTTTTTCAAAATTCCCCACCACTAAATCCGGGCATTTCTGACAACGGTGATTGTTCAAACGCTTCGCAAAGTTTTCAGAGATAACCGAACTCTAACAAGTCAACCAACGTTCGTCCGGGTCGGCTACGCACTCGCCCGTCCCGCTTCCCCGGGCCGCTCGTAGAACAGCGAAGCGAAGCTTATCGGCGACCGCGAAGGTCCGGGAGATGAGGCGGCCCGCTGGCCGGGGGACGAGGGGGCGGGGGCGGGGGCTCGCCCTCCCCGGTAAACGCAGCGCTTCGAACAGCCCGCCAGCGCGGGAGCGCGCGGACTTCATCCAGCGGGCAGCGCCGCCGCCTCTCCGCCGCCCCCGGAACCAGCCCGGGACACCCCAAAGCCCCGCAACACAGCCCGCCAGCCAGCCACACAACCGCAGCGACACTTACGTCCGCAGTCGCCACCCCAGACCTCTTCCAGAAGAGAGACACCAGCTCGCACCGAGGACCGCTTCTGCAGACGCCCAGCCTCCGACTCGCGCTCAGCGACTCGCTCCGCCCACAGCTGTGCGTCTTCCCGGGCGCGCCGCTGATTGGCTCGCCGAGGGGGCGGGGCCTGCCTCTGTGGGCTGGATTTCCGTCCAGGGTTTGAATGACACGCCGAAGCAAAATGTGTGAAATAGGTAAAAAGCGTATTTTTTGGTCTTGACTTATAACTGTGCTTGTGTAATATTTACCATAACACCCGGAAACCTATTTTGAGCACACTACTATAAATGGAGTGTAAGGAATGGAAACAATCGTCTTATGGGACAGGGCAGAGGGATTGCTTTGTGTTATCTGCTGGCCTTGCAATCTCAGGAAACTCTCCCAAGAGAAAGGGGCGAGTTTTACACACCAGGAGGAAATGAGAGACGTACACAAGTTATTGGCAACAAATTTAAAATAGCTTAACATTTGGTATATAAAGTAGTACTTGAGTGTACATGTTGTTTATTACAATTTTTAAAAATAAATACACTTGACATAAATGTTATCATCTTAACCACTTTCCAAGTGTATAATTCGTCATTACATGCATTCACATTGTTGTGCAACTGTCACTGCCATCCCATCTCCTTAACTCTTTCATCCTGCCAAACTGAAATTCTGGATTAAACAACTCATCACTTCTGCTCTGCCCACCACCATTCCCCTTCGTATCTCTATGAATTTGACAACTCTAGGGACTTCCTATAAGTGGAAGTAGTATTTGTCTCTTTGTGGCTGGCTTATTCCACTCAGCATAATACTCTCAAGGATCATCCATGCTGTAGGATGTCAACATTTCCTTCCTTTTCTAAGGCTCAATAGTACTCCGTTGTATTGTATACCAAAGTTTCTTTACCTACTAACCCCTTGGTGGACTCTTGGGTTGCCTACACCTCTATGGCTCTTTTGAGTAATACTGCTATGAATGTGAGTGTACAAATCTCTTTTCAAGTCCCTGCTTCCAATTCTTTTTGGCATGCACCGGGAAGTGAGTACACTGGATCATATGGTAGTTTTATTCTTAACGTTTTGGGGAACCACTATACTGTTTCCCACAGTGGCTGTACCATTTTACATTCTCACCAACAGTGCACAAGAGTTCCAGTTTCTTCACATCCTTCCCAACACTGTTTTTTAGACCGGCCATTCTAATGGATGTGAGGTGGCCTCATGATTTTCATTTTCATTTCCCTAATGATTAGTGGTGTCCAGCATATTTGCATGTGCTTATGGGCCATTTGTCTGTCTTCTTTGGAGAAACATGTATTTGAGTCCTTTTCCCAATTTAAAATCAGGATGATAGTTTGGGGAAAGGGACTGCTATTGAGGTGCAGGAGTTCTTTCTTCTGGATATTAACTCTATCAGATATATGCTTTGCAAATATTTTCTCCCATTTCATGGGTTGCCCCACTCTGTTGACTATATCCTTGGCTTACCACAATTTAAAAAAGTTAAAACATTTCACAAATAAAATGTGAAGCAGACCCCTGAAGCTTCTGGCAAGGACTTCAGAACTTCTGCACCACCCTCCCATGCCCACTGTCCTTCCCAGCACCCCCAAATGAGAAAGGTCCAGAGAACGTACACACTCCGGTGCTCATGTTCTCTCTCTGACGTGAACCTCCCCGAACCTGCTCACCTCCATGCAGAAGACAGTGTGCAGAAGACAGAAAGGAAGAAGGACACACGGAACCAGACACTTACTGCAGGAAGATCACTTCCAGTGCTTATGACCTCATGCACTGCAGAATGGATTCCAGAGCCCACATGCAAGAGGATCTTCAATGTTTACTACTTCATAGTGGAAAAGGTGGAACCCTAAATTTTATGAACATTTTTGCCCGGAGGTTGAGCTGGTCTGCATCGACAAATTGCCCTTTTTCCTAGTTACAAACTTAACACTAGCGACCTGCTATATCTAAAATGTGTGAAATTAAGCATGCAGGTAAATGAAAGTTGAGGTGGTGAACACAATACAGTGTACAGATGATGTGTTGCAGAACTGTGCCCCTGAAACCTGCATAATTTTGTCAACCAATGTCACGCCAGCAAATTCAATAAATAGGAAAAAAATAAAGGGGTTAAACAGAAAAAAGAAAAGAAAGTAAAGAGGTGTCTGTAGTCTATTTTTAGCAGAGTTCCCTTCTGCATGCCTCAGAGGTAGAAAACTGTGTACCCACTGACTACCCACCCACAAGTCAATTCGATTGTATTTCTTTCTAAGAGTACTCAATGCATTTGTAGTCTGGGTTAGAATTTATAAATATTGCCAGGTTTTATTAATCAGCTTTCACAAGGTAGGCAAGACAGGAAGTTCTCTAGATCTTGAATAAAAGAGGTAGAAGACACACAAAAGTTGTGCAGATGCCAAGGGGTAAAAATTAAGTTAGTGGGGGAACTTTAGACAGAAACAGAAGAGAGGGGCTGCTCATCCATCAGGCCACACTACCTCCAAGGAAACTGGAAAAACGAACCCTCTGAATGAGAGCCACAGACGCTGAGAACAGGAACAGTTTAAGGTACCAAGAGGTCTTTATTGAAATAATAGCACAGTTACACTTCTATTACCCTTTCCACTTGTATAAGATAGCTTAAAAATGCTCGCTACATACAGTGCACAGACAGTTCAATAATTAAAACCAAGTCAACTGCATCTGAAATAAATAAAATAGCCTATTTAATAATTTAAAGTAAAATTACTGTACAATATGAAAATAAAGATACATTAAGTGTTAGGACCTACAGTGCCATTGAAATAAAATCATTATTCTGCAGTACATAAAACAGTGCAAGAAAAAAATCCAAATAAGCTTTTGGAGTGCAAAGTCTAAAATTTCCATTTTTACGTCATCATGCAGGTATAGCATTGCAAGCCATGCTATCGTCTATGGCAAAGTTGTCATTCTGAGAGGAGAATGCCAGCCAGGAAGTGGACTGTGCCGCCGAGGGCTGCATCGTCCCCGCCGCCGCTCTGCTGCCACAGTACAGTGTGGGAAGGAGGGATCCTGTTGCATTCAAAAAATTGAACTCAACAAGTTTCTGAAGCAAACACATTTACCTTTGAAGCCTGAGGCAAAATAACGTGACAAGAGTAATTATATCCCTGGTTAAGAGAAAGAAAAGGCCTATGCCACTTAATGAACTAAGAAGCAGTTTCCCATCTATCTTTAAACTCCAGAATGATCCTCAGTGAAAACAAGCATGTAACTTTCAAGAGACATAAAGTTCTGACCTCCAGCTGGTAAGTGATACAATATCATGGGATTCTGAGAAAAACAAAATTCATTTCTGAACACCTATGTTTAATTAATCTGTGTAGAACTTGGTTGTATTACGTGTAATAATATGCTTAAAGCATAGTTCGATTTCGATGTGTATATAAAACTGTTATTTCGGCAAAGACCAAGGAATGCTTTAATACTAAACTGTAAACACACCGTCCACCTCGACCTGGAGGGCACACCGACAACGTAAGAGCTCTGCCGCGGACTTTGGCAACGGGACGACACACAGCAGGTCACGGCGGCACGCGCTGACGTGGAGGACCGAAAGCACTGCAGAATAACACGCCCGACAGTTCCTACCAAGAGGCACAGGTCACAGGGGCCTCCTCATGCTAAGCCACTTTCCTGGTCAGTCTATGTCCTTCAAATCTGGGATCGTCACACCTCAGTAGTTTCAGTCCCCGTGCTCTCACTGCCTAGACTGACACTGGGGGCACTCTATCCACTGTAGGTCCAGAGGGTCACAGTTCTGTCTGCGGAGGACGACAGGAAGGACAGGTCCTTGGTGTGCCACCTGCACTGAATCACTTTGTCTTTGTGCTCCCCCACCACCATGATGGGCAGCTGTTTAGTGAGGTCTCCTAAGTTAAAAAAAAAAAATGGAGAGATGGATTTACAATACAAAATGAGTAAAGGCACAGGTTTCACAGACTTCCTGTTACTTTAAGACATCACACTATACACACCCTAATCTATATTAATACAATACACTGGAAGATTTAAACAGGGACAAATTACGGAACGCTTCATTGTCAGCAGTATCTGGTCGGCTTCTCCCTGTTTTCAGTGTCACAACATCTCGGGCTCCTCTGCAGGTTTCTCTTCTCCTTCTGACCTAAAGTTCGGTGTCGCTCAGGAGTCAGCCTTCAGACTTCCGCTTCCCTTCATCCCTCCCTGCCTAGGAAATCCCATCAGGTATCACGGTACATGACCATTTACGTACTTATGATTCACGCATGTTTCATCTGCAACCTTGACTTCTCACCTAAGTTACGCAGACTAGCATCCAAACAGCCATTTGACATCTCCCTTGGCCGCCTGACAGCCATCTTAAACTTAACTCGTTTAGCCCTGGCTGGTGTGGCTCAGTGGCTGGCTGTCGTCCTGCAAAGCGAAAGGTCGCCCGCTGATTCAAGGTCAGGCACAAGCTCGCTCGCAAGAGGCAACCGATTGACTTTGCTCTCTCACACGGATGTTTCTCTCCCTCTCTTCCTACTTTCCTTTCACCTCTCTAAAAAAATTTAACTTGTTTAAAATAAAGTCATTTCCGTTGGTTGGAGTGCCATCCCTTACACCAAAAAGGCTGCAGGTTTGATTCCTGGTCAGGGCACAGGCCTAGGTTGCGGGTTTGATCCCCGGTCAACAGATTGATGTTTCCGTCACATCGATGTTTCTCTTTCTCTCTCCCTTCCTCTTTTTAAAATCAATAAACATATCCTCAGGTGAGGATTCAAAAACTTAGTGTGTAACCTGTGCAATTATGTGTTCAGTATATAGTTTTATTGTTAAACATTCATAGAGCAAATCTGTGTACCACCTGGGGACAGAGAGAGGGGTGAGTAGGACAGGTGACCTCCTCCGTGACGGCATGTGCGCAGTTGGGGGATCGAACTCACCACCTGCTTGGTGTGCGGGATGACACTCCAACCAGTGAAGCCACCGGCCATGGCAACAGACTCGGTTTTTTAAAACAGCAGCAAAGAGTATTACAAATTCATATTTTAATATCCATCATCACTGA